TAAAAATATGACCGAGCAGGTTACTATATTGATGACACTTTGGATGAACAAATCATGGCTGTTGAAACTGTTGGAGCCACACAGTACATCTTACAACAAAACCACCACAACATGACTCAAGTACATAAAGGTTTAACACCTTCTTTTTTTATTTTTGATGACTGAGGAACAACATGAACATAAATATTTTACTGCATGTTATAACTATTGAGGTATACATAACATGATATTGACTTTAAGAACTTTGATTTACTCATAACATGACATAACATGAATAATTGAAAAAATGGATTGGGACTTGGGGACTGGGCAGCACGGTGGCACAACTGGTAGAGCTGCTGCCTCTCAGCAAGCAGGTCCCTGGTTCAAACCCCGGTCCAGGGGCCTTTCTGGGTGGAGTTTGCATGTTCTCTCCGTGCATGCGTGGGTTTTCTCCGGGTACTCCAGTTTCCTCCCACAGACCAAAAACATGCATGTTAGGCTGATTGGTAACTCTACATTGTCTCTAGGTGTGAGTGAGAGAGTGAATGGTTGTTTGTCTCTATGTGTCCCTGTGATGGACTGGAAACCTGTACAGTACTCCGCCTCTCACACAGTGATGGCTGGACATAGGCACCAGTGACCCTTGCGACCCAAAAAGGAAGAAGCAGCTAAAGATAATGGATGGATTGGGATTTGATACGAGTTGAGACTGAATCTAAGATGACTCAGATACATGTCTAGGATAAAATTATCTTGACCCTAACATCCCTATTAGAATTACGTGTCACTGTTGTTTTAATGGTCAGTGGCTGAAAAGATTGGAAGCTGCTAAACCACAGGGACGACCTGATAACCTGTTTCTAACTTCCTTGTATTTTACAGTCTATGATACAGTTTGGTGCCCCTCCATTTTCTATCAAGTCCAACTTTAAACTCATGTCTGGCAATGCCACTGGTCTGTAGTCCAGAATACCAAATAAGCCAACATACAATCTACACAATTAACTTACGACCAACTCAGTTAGCAACATGGAATTTTAAACCATTGTTTTGTTTTATTTATTGACATTTATTTAACCAGGCACATCTAATTAAGGTCATAGATCTCTTTTACAATGGAGGTCTGGGCCTGAAGGCAGGCCAAATGTGCATGTTTTGGACTGTGGGAGGAAACCAGCATACTCAGAGAAATCCCACGCAAACACAAGAACATGCAAACTCCACACAGGAAGACCCCAGATCCAAAACAGGAACTGAACCCAGGACCTTCTTGCTGTGAGGCAACAGTGCTAACCTCTAATCCATCGTGTTACACCTTCACTTGATACGTTGATATTAAAATGAAACACTTGTTAAGTATCAAGACATGAAGGTAATCAGCAGTTAAGAAGAGGCAGGAGTGACATGTTTGACAGAAAATGAAAGTAAAGAAGTGGAAATGATCACTCGGAATAATCCATCCAATAACAGAATAAGCTTCCATGTGACTGATTGGTGCGCGTGGAGCCCAGGGACTGCGCCATAGGCTGCTCCAGCCTCCTGCCGCTGATTGGACGCTGACGCAAAGAGCTCATATGTTTTTTTTTTTTCAGGCAGCGCAACTCCAGCGGTCATATCACATCCTCCAGTGCTGAGGACGCGCGCACCACCGCGTCCTCGGACACTGATGAAGCGGTTGGCTGCAGGCTGGCGCACCCCCGTCATGTTTTATGCGAATCGATTAAAAAATATATAAAATATATATATATAACTTTATTTACCTTTTCTTATTGGTGTCTTCCTCGCCTCACCCCCCTCCCCGGGTCCTCGGTCCCCGGCAGCCTCCCTGCAGACTGCATGGAGCTCTGAGAGGAGAAATGAGGAGTTCCTGCACAAACTCTGCCCGCGCACTTACAAAAAAAGACCATTTTTTTCTTCCTTACCTTCCGCGCAGATCCTGGGGGGGGGGGAGGCGAGGAAGACACCAATAAGAAAAGGTAAATCCCCCCCCCCCCCTCCCTCCTCGCCCCCCCCTCCCGCCCCCCCGCCCCCTCTCTCCCCCACCC